GGCGGACCCAGCCAGACACTTGAGATCGTTCGACAACATAGCTGTGCTGCATAGGTATAGTGATGTTGTGTGTTGCCGAGCCTTCTTGACGACATTAAAGGGGTCGGCACAGGATTGGTTCCACCAGCTGCCAACAGGATCTATTGATGGCTTTGAGAAGTTCAGCTCTCTGTTTCTCAATCAGTTTGCAAGCGCCAGGAAGCACGAGAAGACATACCTCTCGTTCATTAATATGCAACAAAAAGAAGGGGAAACCTTGCGGCAATACGTAGCGAGGTACACAAAGGAATGCATGGAGGTCCCTTCTGCCTCGGAAGAAGTCAAAGCTGGAGGCCTTACTCGAGGATTAAGGCCTGGGAAGTGTAGAGATTCGTTAGCGAAGAGGCCGACAAGGTCCTTTGACGAGCTGCTTGAAAGGTGTAGCAAATATGTGAACATGGAAGAATCAGAGGTGGGCTTCATCCGGAATGATAAAATAAAGGCTAAGCAGCCAGAGGAGAGGCCTCGACAGGGTGATCGGCGAGCTGCCCCTAAGGAGTCTCGAGTTGAGGACCGGTTCAGGGGTCCAAGGTATGAGCACTACAAACCACTTATCGCTCCACAGCAGGAGATCTTGGAGATGATGGAGAAGCGGGGGGAGGATAAGCTGCTCGCGCAACCGAAGCCTTTGCCTCCCCCACGAAAATTTTCAGCATCAAAGGACAGATATTGTCTGTACCACCGAGGCTATGGTCATTCTACTAACTTTTGTCGAGAGTTGAAGGATGAGATTGAGCGGCTCGTCAGAGCCGGTCATTTGAAGGAGTTCGTGATCAGGGATAGGGAGCGCCCAGAAGATCGCCGGGAAGGGCGTGAGCCAGGAGACAAACGGCGGTGGATTGATGAACAGCCTGACAGGCCGATGAAGAAGGGTATCATACACATGATCGCGGGAGGTCCTACGGATGGAGCTCGCATAGAGAGAGGAAGAGGACCTACCGTGGTAAGGGTGTGGCTAATGAGGTGGCTGAGGTACAGGTGCAGAGGAGCCTGGCCACTTTGAAGTTTGGAGCTGACGATGTGCAGGGGCTTGTCGTCCCACACAATGATGCCTTGGTTATCACGACGGAGGTAGCCAGTAACGATGTGCAGAGGGTACTCATAGACACATGGAGCTCGGCGGACATCATTTTCCTTAAGTTCTCGCAACAGATGGAGTTAGACGTGAAGGTCGAGCCGGTTCACACTGCCCTCTACGGCTTCAGTGGTAGTGAGGTTCGTCCCGTTGGTGAAGTGAGTTTGACTGAAGGTGAAGATGGTTCGTTTCTTGGTTGTGGATGTGAGCTCAGCCTATAACATCATACTGGGGCGACCTAGCTTAAATTCATTCCAAGCAGCCATCTCTACTTATTGTATGAAGGTCAAGTTCCCCGTGGGGGATGAGGTTGGGGAGGTGACTGGAGACCAATTGCAATCTCGGCGGTGCTATGAGGTCACATTAAAAACGGCCGAGGCGCAGCATAAGAGGAAGACTGACGACCTGCCGGAGTGCTCCCGTCGAGAGAAGAAACAAGAGTTGGGAATTAGCTCTCAGGACGAACTGATGGAAGTTGAGCTGATAGAAGGTAATCCGGAGAAGATAACAAAGGTAGGACGTCACTTGGCGGGTGACCTACAAGGCGCGTTGATTGCATTATTGAAGGAGTTTGTGGATGTCTTTGCCTTTTCAACTGACGACCTCACAGGGATCGATCCCGGGGTGGCGGAGCATAGGTTGAACATTGACCCAACTGTGAGACCGGTGAAACAGAAGAGGAGGCACTTTGGTGCCGATTTAGACG